TATTCTTCCCAGATTTCCTATTTACAGTTAAACTAGGTGCTCTGAAGCTTTCTAGCTTGGCAAAGGTCATAAACCTAGCCTATGATCTGGTCTCTGCAGCCACTCCACCTTTGTGAACTCTGGCTCAGAGACTGAGGTACCTGTCACAGGTCACACAGTGAGCTAGTGGCAGACTAGGTTCCTGGACACCCTGCTTTTATGAGCATGCCCAAAAGGTGATGACAAGGATGGACACACAAGCCCCAACCATCTACTCTCAGATTCTTCAACCACTGTCAAGAGCACAAGGTCGAGGGGTCTCATACAGGCTAAGAGGAGGCTGGATCTGTGAAGCGGCATGTTTTCCTATCAGCATATCCCAGCAGACCAGCCAGCCATGCACCCCAGAGACTCTATTGCCAATTATAGAGGGATAGCCTTGGGATCCCTGAATATCTGTGTGGAGTACCCAAGGTTCAGGAGCTCACAGTCTCTGGCAAAAGGACCGTGGGCTTTCTGAGGGCCATAACCACTATTGATTCCCAGCCCTGCCCCAGTCTCTCACCCCTAACCCCGGGCCACAGGAGCATAATCCATGACTCCATGCTCTGAGCTAATTTGGCAACTACTCAGTCACAATTGCTGGCCCCTCGGAAGGAAGATTAGGCAATCTACTTCCATAGTGATATCACCTCAGAAACCCTAGGAGGGGTCACTATGAGTCGGATCTGACTTGACAGCAGTGAGTAGTGAGTTTGGTTTTTTTTTTTTTTTTGGCCTGATGGGACACTTCAAGGTAGGGATGAGCAAGGAGTGACCTGGGAATCCTGGGGCAAGAAATGGGGTTGGGCAGGTCTGTGGTTGGCCCTCCTGCTGGCTGCAGGCATAATGAGAAACATCATGTTGGTCAATATTTGTCAATGGATAGACAATGTAGACGTCCCCTAGGTCTGACCAGGACTAAATTGAGGTTGCAGCTTGATACCTAATCATATTCCAGAACGAACAGATTTTTATCTGGCCTGATTTAGTGAAGGAGCTCATGGTCTGAGAGGTCTCACAATTGGTACAGGAAACTGCCGTTTGGTTTGTGGGATAATCATCCCAGTCACCTCCAATAAACCATCCAAATAATTAGGGTTAAAATTGAGGGTGGAAAGTCAAAGCTTGCTAGCCCACTTGGGCTGCCCTCCAGGACCTGAGCTGCTGACAGATTTGACACAAGCAATGTCCAGGGCTCTGGGATGTGTGGGCATTACTAGTGTGGGAGGGGGCCTTTATGCCAAGGATATACCAGAGAGTGTTGTGAGGGACTTTGCACGCCAAGTAAGGGGCTTTACCATGAGGTCAGATGAACTGTGTTGCTCTAGATGGAGGCTGGGGCTTTGGGGCTGTCCCTGGCTCCTGTGTGGCTCCACACCAACACTGTATCGAGTCCTTCGCAAGGAGCCTAAAGCCATTTCCCTGAGCCATTTACAAGGACTGCTACTTCAGTAGCATCACATTGGGCACTGGGTGCATGTGTGGTAGAGGGTTCGGAGGAGCATAGAGAATAGGATGAATTAGACTTAGAGGTCCCCAGGAGCTGTTGTAGAGAACAAGGGAGAGTGGTCTTGAGCCTCAAGTCTGAGCGTGATGGGTGCTGACTAAGGCTGAGGATGGGGTTCTAGGAAAGGACTGATTCACATCCTAAAGGACACAGGGTAAGGAGAGATGGCAATAAGACAGTCAGATTCTTGTCTTTGTGGCTGCAGAGAGATTGGCAGAGCCCCTGCTGGGTGCCCCTGGCACTGAGATGCAAGGGAGAGTCAGAGAGGCTGTTCCTACACCCCATCCTGGGCTAAAGGCTCCTCTTGAGAGTCCCAGACTGTCACCCCCCACCCATCCCAGCCTATCAGGTCTGGTGAGGCTGCACTCTGTCATGACTCTCACTCACAAGCATTTCCATACCCTGGGCTTTAGTGAAGCAGCAGGTGCTGATGTATCGGTTACAGAAAAGTTTGCTCAGTCAACTTCCACTCCCTTTACCCACCCACAGCCTCATCTGCTGCTAGTGCCAGCAAACTCCCACCCTACCCCAGCAGAAATTATTCCTGATTCTCCTTTTATTTCCTTTATTGCAGCTCTAATTGTGTGCACGAGGCTCCCGAGAGAGAGCTGGGTCCCAGAGGCCGCCTTGGATATTATTACATGATTTCCATCCTTCAATGGATATGATAATACTCTGTAAAGCTTTCTTGAACTGTGAGAAACTGCTTCGCTCAATAGTACAGTTCTTGGGCAATTCTGTTGGCTAAATAAGAAACACAAGTTTAAGTCATCTTCTTAATAGAAAAATAAAATAAAATAAAATAAAAACTTTTGTCCTCCAAATCACAAGGGTCTTGTAGCTCCCCACCCCTTAGTTGATAATTCAGGCAGGGCCTCTCTGTCTGCCTTAGGGAACACCCTAGAGGCATGAGATAGTGGGGCCCAGGGTCCTAGGGCCATTCATAGCCTTTAGGAGGGAGCCATCAGGGTATAGGCAAGGCACACAGGGACAATGGGACAAGTAGGGGATTCACTGGGGACTGTGTAATGTATGGACAAAGAGAGAGAAGCACTTCAGTCATTTCCCCACAATATACCCTCTACAGCATTACCTATCCCCATACCCTCCCCATGGCAGATTCCCAGAGGGGCTCCTCAGCTCAGAAAAGGCCCCAAGGGCAGGGTGAGCTAGAGCAAGCTTGGACTGGCTGCCTTGTTGAGGTTAGCCCTAGGGACCCAACCCTTCTCCCCAGGCTGAGTCCATAGCCAGCTTGATCTGACCTGCTCCACACTGACTACTGGCCATGGGGCCTTGGCAGAGGCACAAGCAGAAACCTCTAGAAAGATCTCTGAATCTTCACTCCCCCATCTTCAGCCCTCTCCTGCCCTCACCAGTTAGTGGACAGTCCCAGAAAACAGCCATCTGTTTGGTCCAAGAGTAGCACCTGAGGCTTTGCATGTGGCAAGTGGGGTCCATAAGCACTTTGCCTTGCTAGACCCCTGGCCATGGTGGCAGGGAAATTATGGATCAAGGTTCCTTCACCTGCAGAGCAAACAGCAACTTACTTTCAACTTTGTGCAGATTCTAGTGAGTTCTGTCATGTCCTTATAAATCTTCTTTATGTGACAGTCTTGCTTGTTATGTTCAGATACATTCTTCAGGGTAGAGATGAAGTTCTTTGTAAATGTTCCATAGCAGGGCTCCTGAAACAGGGTTGAAGCTACACTGGTATGGTGGTGATATACAGTGGAGTACCAGCTGAACCCCAACCTCAACTGTCCCTGGACACCCTAGTCAGACAAAGCCCTGGACCCAGGCTCAGGCCTTACTCTACCTCTTCCACCAGAGACCCCATGAACCGTGCAGGGCCATGCAAGGAAGCAGTGGGTGTTTGGCCTCCCCTTAGGCCCTGACCTGCTCTGGGATGGGCTCCTGAGGGTGCTGTGAGGCTCTGCCCTCTCAGCCTGCTGTCTGGCCACTGATCTGTTGACTGAGCAAGAGGATCCTTCCTCAGACTCTCTGATTTCTCCCCAAATTTCTCATTCTAACATCCCTTGCAATTATATCTTTCCTGGGCGTGATTGAGTTCATCCCTTGCTCCCTGCTCCAGTGTGTCAGAGAGGTCCAAGGGGTCCTTACCCTGCTCCTTACCCTGCTGGTGTTCTGTGGCCTATCAAAGGAGCCCTGGAAAACAGGAGAAGTTGGTCACAAACACAAAGGACACAAGAAAAAAATAATTGATTATGAAAACCCGGACTTACATTGTACATAATGTCGTCAGCCGAAAGTTCTTTCTGAATCTCAGCACAGATGGCTGTGTGATTTTTGTGGAGAGACACAGTGGTGATCTTCATGGGGGTGGAATGGCTTTCGGACACCCAGAGTGCCCAAGCCAGGAGCATGCACAGGTGCATGATACCGCTGCAGGTGGCCAGAAGCTGATCTGAGCCCTGGGCTTGGCAGCATTTCTGTGGGGAGGGGGTACTTATATATGTGAGTCTAAGGAAATGCTCAATCTCTTATCAGTCATCATTGGTTTACAAGGGTGACTGAGAGGACCTTATCACTGGGCAAGATGTGCTTTTCATGCATTTTCTATCACCACAGCACACGTTATGGATTCTTGTCTTTAATGAAATTCAGGCTTGGTCTAAAAACTTTTATTTGTAATCACATCTAGAGTCACGGCCTTTCTGCCTGGAAGTGGGGTGAGTCCTTAGCCAGAACTGGGTCTGTGGGCCAGCACACAGCATCCAGCCGGCTTCAGGGAGGGCCAGCATCCCCAGGCCCACTTGTCAGGCAGGAGGAACATCCCCCAATGTCCACATGAGCCTTTGGGATACATCTGGGGCCTCACAGTCCCCAGGAGATTGGCCAAGCCTCCAGTGTAGATGGCAAAGCAAGGTGGAGGGGCAAGGGCAACTATTTCCTTTGCCTGAGGGCCATGAATTTTAGGCAAAAGCACCTGATTAGATTAAAAACTTCCTGTACAAATAAAAATCTGTTCAGAAGAGTGCACACTACACCTGTGCATCACCAAATTATGAATTTACATTCTGACTCTCGGAGATTAAAATCATCCATTTTGGGGAAAATTTGGTACATATACTGAGCTCTGACCCCTGTGGTTTAGTTTCTTTTTCTCTGAACAGTTTCTCTGCTGATTTACCTTGAGAGTGCTTGCATCCCTAGTAAGAATGTGGGGAGGGGGTCAGGGACAGGGCCCAGGGCCTCTGAGCAACACAGGTGTTTTGCCTGAGGGCAGGGCGGGCCTGTTCAACCAGTGATCAGCCAATGCCAGGAAAGAAAATCCGCCTCTTCTCTAATGAAGCAGTGGGTCACTAGCGGGGAACATGGGGAGTGCTGACCGGTGTCCTTTGTGTTTCTGACCAAGTTGTCCTGTTTTCCAGGTCTCCTTCAGTAGGCCCCAGAACACCAGCAAGGTAAGGAGTGCCCACCCTTGAACCTTTCTGACCACATTGGAACAGGGTCAGAGGAGGTCACACTGTCAGAAGAGGTGAAACCAAAAAGAGTCCATAAAGTTTTTGGGTAGTGTTTCAGCAGAAATTTATTATTTTAATAAAAATATCCCTGTAGTTAGTTATAACAACAAACACATTTTTTGTAAGCCCAGCTTATATGTATCAATATATCTACAAGACTAAAACTTTAGGCTAATTTAATTTTTGAACTTTCTGAGGTACTCCAGTCTGACTCAATCACAATGATGCTTCGAGTCACCTGGTTACATCTAGACATGATATAAGCACGCACTGTTATTTTAGTTGCTCATGGTATTTTTATAGTCACTGATTTTGTCAAATTTTCTGCTGTATCTAGCTACTATATTATGGTAATTAGTATTTGTGAATCTATATCAATAACTTTTTTAAGAATGAAGTACCAAAGTAAAAGAATAATAATAATTTTAAAAAGGTTTCTGCTCAGTTATTAATAATGTTCTAATAATTTTGTAATTCAATGTATAAAGATTCTACAAAACAATTTTGGTGTTAGTATTCATATGATCTAAGAAATATTTACATTTAAGCAATTTACAACTACATTTATCATATGTTATTCTATGATTAAAATTGTTGATAAACGTTACTAAGGATTCTGTGTGGTCTGGTATGGGAAGATGTCCATTTGGGGTGGGGAGGAATGACACCATGAGTTACCGCAGTGGGTGACATCGACCTTAGTGATGCCACTGGGGCAAGGTTCCAACTGAGCTATTGGGTGAGACTTCTAGGTAAACCTGGAAACCCTTCACTGGATTGAGAAGTCTTGGGTGCCCAGAGAAGCCCATCGGGTGTGCAGAATACTCTCCACGGCTCAGTGCTCACCTCCCCTCAGATCTCACAGAGTGGCCCATAGTACAATGCCCAGCCCGATACAAACCCCCTGCCCCACCTTTCTGCTTCCTCCCCTCACTGCCTTGTGGAGACAAGGGGCACCACCAGCATTTGCTTGTTTTTGAAAATAAATCAGAAAAACCGCACAAATGAGAATGGACTTTTAATAACTTATTAGTATGGTTAAAACATCTCGAATAAATATGGAGCATAAGCTTAAATAAATAAATAAATAAATAGAAAATACATAGATAAATATATAAATAAATATTAAGGATCCTTGACAATGTAAAACCTCCCCCATGCTGCCATGCCCCCATCAGGGGCACCATGGCCCAGACAGGTCCATGACCCCATGGGTGTAGCCCACCCCATGGTCCCTCCGAGAAGAAGATTCTGAGTGTCTGGCTCTTCATGCATGTGTGGGAGGGCAGCGACGCGTGAGGTAAAATCCTGGAGCTGGTCCCTAGCTGGAGGGGGTGTTGGGGGAGTTGACTGGCCTACTTCGTTTCTGTCTTCTGCCAGCAGACCAAGGGAAGGGTGTTCAGAAATTTCTTCAGTTTTTGTTTCAAGGTTTCAAAGGGGATAGTGTGGTTTACACAAGCAGTTTCCTATAAAAAAATAAAAAGCTTGAGTCCCAGGTATGAGTAAGTAACATGGGGATATACCAGCAAGTTTTTGCACTGCCTTAGAACTCAGAGACCAGAAGATCCATTCAGGACCCTGCCCACTGACCTGTGTCAGGTGATACTGCTGATAACCTTGTGTCCCCCAAGGGGTAAACTCTGCCAACAGCAGGTAGGGCCAGGGGCATGACCAAGTGCTAGCCCCTGGCTGCCACTTCTCTCCCAGGCCCCCAACCCAAGGCTGATCTACTGTGCGTTGGGACCATGGCCTCTTTTATCACTGCCAAGGGCAAAGCAACAATGCTAAGGCCATCTCCCAGTCTCCTGAGGGGCAGGAGATCCTTCCCATGGGGCAGGAGTATTGGGGCCTTGTCCATTCCAAGTATGCTGGCCGGGGAAAGTCCTGTTGAGAGGTGACTCAGTACTTCTTCTGTGCTAAACTAGGCCCTGAGTTTTCTTAGGTTTGCTTCACCTTTGACCTCATTAATAATGATAATGACAGTGAAAATAAGGAATGCAACAACTCCTCATTAGGGAGCACTCTGGGCATCCTAACTCAATGGCTTTAGCTCCTAGTGATAGAAAATGGCTTCTTCTTCTCTGGAGAGTGAATCATTAGAAGTCTAGAGAAACCCTCTGGGGTCCTGAACAACCACCCAGAAAGCACACCCACTGAGTCCCCACCCACCTAGGCTGAGACCCTTCTCCTTGGGGTCCAGCATTCAGAGAGACACCCTAGCATGGGCACTTACCAGAGTAGGGGGGCATTGCTCCCTATAGTATTCAGCCATTGTGTTCAGAAGGACTTTGAGCCTGGTGAAGTTGGCCCTCAGGGCCTGCTTGTACAGTTCCAGCTGTGTCTGCAGGCATATTGGTGCCTGTGGAAAATGTCCATTCTCGGTGAACAGTGACCAAATGCCCTTGGTGGACACAGGATACCCTCCCCACTGCTCCTTCCTGTTCCCATCTTCATCCCCCCTGTCCCCCAGAGTAGTCCTAGAAAGGGCATAGCATGATTCCTGACTAGTCTAATGCTAGGTCCAGTCATACACACTGCTCTCTCCCCTGCAGGCACAGGTCTGGACCCTCCTCACCATCCAGGCTCAGGCCACCCTCAGTCAGCATAGCCGAAGCCCTTTGGTCTGACACTTTGAATGAGTCCTAGCATGATGGAAGGACACCATTCTGGGAAGAGAAGATGAAGCAGGGCATTGCCTGGACCCGCTTCTCAAGCAAGGGTTGTTCCTGAAGCCCTTCAGTGCCCTTCTGAAGCCATTACCCTGGGTCCACAGAGCTTAAGCATTGGGGCACAGGGAGTGTCCTAAACTTAGGCACAGTACTGCTCTCATGAAGTAATCCTGGCTTTCTCACCAGTCCCCTGCATCTGCCGGAGTGCTAGATCTGCCCATAGCTGCTCAGCTGATAAAGGGAGTGCACGTGACTGCAACAGGGGCAGGGCCATCAGTCTCTTGTGCACCCGGAGACTCCTACTCCTGGCAATTAGCTGACTGGAGAGCAAGTGACAAACCTGTGAGAGTCTATCTAAAAGAACAGAGGTCCCTGGGAAGGTGTGTCAGAAAAAATCCTCTTACCTGGGGGTCTAACATTCCTGAGACAACCGTTGCTTTTTCCTGTAAGAAAGAAAAACATCATGTTATCCAGTTGGTAGGTAGGCCTATCTGAGGTCATTGGACCTGGGGCCCAATGGCTCAGGGGTTTTCATTAATGAGCCCTTCCATGAACCTGCAGCCCACCCACCCACTTTCTTGAACCCTCTTCAACCCGCCCTGGGCAGTCTGACTGGCCTGAGGCAATCTGACTGGCTCTAGGCATGGGGCCATGGATGCAGGTCCACCTAGCACAGGTCTGTGCTCCCCTCTCACTCACCTTCACAGCAGCAGTGTCATTACTGTTTGTTAAGATGTGTAGAGCCTCCTGGATGGCCTCACTGAGGTTTAGGGTCTGGGTGCCCGTGTTGTTTGTGGGTGCGGAAATGCTGCAGGCCACAGTGGCCAGGAGAAACAGGTTCTGCAGCCACATCCTTCTGAGGACTTTAGCCTTTCTCTCTGAGCACTGGGCTCACTGGTAGAAGAGCTCTTATATACACAGTTAGAGGAAATGATTAATGGTGACCACAAAATGCCAGGGAGGCGGGGGAACTACCTGAACTGTGGAATCTCCTGGCCCTTATCAGCTAGCTACACATGGGAACTGTGAGCCTTTCCCCTAGGTGGTCAGGCTCAGGTTTTTCATTAGTGAGACCTTCCATGAACCTGCAGCCCACCCACCCACTTTCTTGAACCCTCTTCAGCCCTCCCTGGGCAGTCTGACTGGCCTGACGCTATCTTCCTCTGAGGGGCCTCTGGACACAGCTTGGACTTTCTGGCATAGAGCAGCCAGGATTGGGTTTGGGAGGCACCTGATCAGGTTCTGAGACCCCTAGGATATCCATCCTGCCTGTACCCCTCAATGCCTTTGGCAACCTACCCACTCTAGTGCCCATTCAGACCCCTTCCTTTCCTTTCCTCTCCCAGAGCCCTTTCCTCCGGCCACAGTGAGGGATTTGAGTGTGAATGGGCTCTCATAAGACTGCCCAACTGTCTACATAGGTAGAGTCCAGCCAGTTGGCCCAGTCATGCAACAGCTCCCCTCAGCTCTCACCAATGACCAAGCACAGTCCATGAGCTCTGCCCATCCAGAGACCCCTACCCTACAGACCCCATGAGCAGATATAATGGCAACTATGTGCATGTCCAGTCAGTGAGATTGCAGAGCATTCCTTCATGTTGAGATCCCATCTGACAGCAATAGCTCAGGTTTACACAACCATATCCAACCCCCAGGCTGCAGAGATGGATCAGGGACAGTTAGTTAGAGGCCTGAGTTCGAATCCTGCTCTGGCACCACCTTTGAGTGCCCCTTCCCCCTGGGCTATGTGAGGCTGAGGCCCATACCTTACCTGTCTCTGTGAGGCAGGCTGTCCCTGTGAGGTGGGCACTAACCTTTAGGGGCCAGCTGCAAAGTCGTTGACCAGGAACATGGGACAGTGGCTTCTCAAGCAAGGTCTTCCAGGCTCAATTTCTTACATGGCTCCATCCCCACCCAACCTCCAGCTCTAGCAGCCCCTCTATAGAAGCAGGAACTGCTTCTGGAAAAGCCTCCAGCTCTCCAAGGGCCAACAAGTGTTTGATTTTCACAATGTGGTTTGGAGAGGGGAGCTTAAGTTTGTTTGCATAAGAGATGGGCTCAAGCTGTCTCATGCCATGAGTTTTATGTCCACATGTGCCATTGTGATTGGATCTGTCTGTACTTACAAATATGTCAGAGGATGGGAGATTGATTTACAGGGAGGTGCATCCATCAGGATCCCTGCCCTTCTGAGCCTGAGAAAGCCTTCCCAGCTGGCCAGGCTGGTCATGGAAATGTGACATATCCAGGCTCTGACCCTTCCTCCACATTTCCTGTAAGGCCTCTGCTCAGCCCCTTTCAGGGAGCTCTCAAGAGTTGTGATGACTGCGAGTGAGGACCAGGAGGGGCTCAAGGAACCTACATGCAAATGCCATGGTGAGTGGATTTGGAGGAGTGAGTCGGCACACTGGGGCTGTGTCAGACGAGCCTGGGAGGCTGGAAGTAAGGAGAAAGGGCTACAGGCAGAGCTTTAGCTGGTGGCTAGAAAGGCAGAGAGTTAGCGAGCCCACTCTGAAATAGAAGGTCACTTTCCTCCTGGAAATGGGTCATCACAACTCAGAGACTTAGTCCACAAAACTTTCCAATCTAGGCCAGGCTCTGTGCTAGAGAAGAGGTGGACAGGACCCTCCTATTGGCTCTCACATCTGACTCTTGAGACTCTCAGTCTGGTGGGGGAGACACTTATCAATGGACCTTCCATTGTGTAGGCCAGGCTGGGCTGGGGGAAGTTCAAAACTGAAGGAGCCCAAGGAACCACCTCCCAAATTTGGAACTAGAAGGGGGCTGGAAGCTTCCTGGGAGATGCTGTCTCCCAGCAGAGGCTGAAAGGGCAAATAGAAGACTAGTGGGAAAGTTTGGTTATGGGAGAGAGGAGGCAGAAAGGATAGTGGAGAGTGTCCCAGGCACAGAGAACCGCAAAGAGAAAGGCCTAGGGACAGGGCAGAGAGTGGCTTGCCTCCTCATTCAGGATGGCCAGGTTGTAGTGATGGTGAGAAGAACCTAAGTGGTAAGATTAGTTTGAACTTGGCCTTATGGGCTGTGGACCAGTCTGGGCACGGTAGTAGTAGTGATCTTGACTAGGGTTTTATGAACAGGTACGGTTAGAGGAAGCAGATTCTAGAGACACTTAGGGGGTAGAATTTTGAAAGCACTTGGTGATGTATTGGATTCATTCATTCACTCAATATTTATTGAGCACCTACTATGTTCCTAGCTGGGGAAATGGATACAAGGATGACCAAAAACAGGCAGGGCCTGCTTCTGTGGATTTTGTAGTAGTGCCGTTAGTGGAGGAGTGAGATTAATCTGCTCATCTACCCTCAAATGTGTGATTTTGAATATAAAGTGAGTGAAAAGAATTAGAGTACTGTCCAAGTGTCAAAGATTGAGGGTCCAGGAGATGAAGGGGCATGTCTGCAGGGTGAAAGAGCCCAAGAAAGGTTTAGAGCTTAGTCTCCTAAGAAGGAGACAGATTTGTGACTGGCCCATGTCCATGTGACAGCTATGCAGGGGGAAGGGCTGAGAGCTAGAGGACACCTGTGTTTAAGGGCCAGGGACATGGTAACTGGGTAAGAGACTGGCCAGAGATCAACGGCCCTGGGAGGGCAGAGAAGGAGGGAAAGCAGTGGCCACAGGGAGACATCCACACCAGTGTGGCCTGCAGGGACAACATGCATAGGAGAGATGTCCATGGGTTTGGTGATGAGGTTTGTGACCAGCCACACATCTTTCTCTTGGAAAGATGACATCAGGGCTGAGGCCATGACATAGGCAGATATTCCTAGATTGCACCGCATGGAAAGAGCAACGATAGCATCAAGCGACCGCAATGACTCAAGACCACAGTAGGAACCATGATGGGCGGGTGTGACTCTTTTTTCCTCCCTCCCCACAAGGCCAGGAGAAAACCCTCTGGAAGGAGTTTCCTGTGAGTCTCCCTCCCCACAGCCCTGGAGGAAACAAGGACTTGGGGCCGCCCCAAGATCTTTATTGCAAAAGGAAGTTGTGGAAGGAAATGGGCCTCAGAGTCCTCGCATCCCGTGGACTTCTGCACAGGTATAGGTATCTCAGTTGATCTGACCCACCCCAGGGTGAGGGTCCTTGTCCTCTCTGGGGCCTGAAGTCCATGGGGCCAGTGACCAACCCAGTCCACACAATCAATAACAGCAGAGTCAGGATTTGAATGTATATCCATTCCTGCTGCCCTGATGTTTTCTGCTATCTCAGGGTCAGAAAGCCAGGAAGTGCTGGTTACCTGGCTGTTTCAGCAGCAGGGTGGACCAAGCATGCTTGACCCCCTCGGGGGCAACTGCAAAGGGCAATTCCTGCCAGGTGCTGGCAGGGAAGCTGGAGTGGCCTGTGACTGGCCCAGGGAAACCCTCGGGGCTGAAGGGCAGACTTTTTCCACCAGATCCTGCTATCCAGGCACCTCTGTAGCTCAGGCTTGAGTTCTTGTGCCAGCCCTGCCACCAATGATTCTTGTATAGCTTTGGAAAGTCCCTTCTCTCTGAGCCTCAGTTCCTTCAGCTGTACAATGGATTTGTTTAAGGCTGCCTCACAGAGGAAATTTTCAAGTGCTGCAGGAAATTCTGTGGGAGAATCTTCCCAAGGAAGAAGCAGTATTTCAACCCTTCCCCTCCCCTTAGCAGGTTTCTGAAACCCATACTGAGCAGTGGGCCCAGCCCTGCTGGAATTTTCAGGGACAGCTGCCCATTGACCAGCCCTAGCCCCAGAGAGTATTTTCCCAGACAGATGTGGTAGAGTGGAAAGGCCAGTCCCCACTCAGCATCAGGCTCATGGGGTTCCATTCTGCCTCCACCATCACTCTCGGGAGACCCAGGTACAAGGACACCAGAAGGGATTCTTCCTTCCCTGAAAAGAGGTTCTTGTCACTCCAGGCCAAGCCAGACCCAGAGCAACCTCTCTGGACTTTGTGGTTTTAGCTCCAGGCTGATCTCTCCCACAGTCCTTGTTTAGGTCCCCAGAGGTACATGTCAAAAAGACCAGGCTGCCCTGGCGAAACTCCAGCCTGGTCTTGCTCACTGGGTGTTCTCTGGCCTCTGACACTGGTCACTCCTCACTGGCCTGGGAGTATCTGAGGGTGGTTCAACCATGTATGGACCTGCATCCATTCCACCAAGATTTACAGAGAATCAGTTATGTGTGACAAAGCTCTTGGCACCCTCTACTCAGAGAACTCACCTCTGGTGGTTATATGGGGTAGGTGACAGGGAGGATGAGGTGCAGACTCATTGGCTCAGCATTAAGGGCACCAACCAAGATTTGCACAATGGATGAGCAGCCCTGCAGGGTGGTCCTGGAATGAGAGTAAAACAAGTTAAGGAAAGGAATTCATGGGACTTGTTGGATATGTGGGTTGGGGCAGGAGGTGAATCAGGGGTGTCTGAAGCTGGGGCTTCTAGCCAGTCAGCTAGGTGGACATTAGTGCCATTTGCTGAGATAGGGAGACTCAAGGTAGCAGAGAGGTTCAGGGGAAATCCAGATTGGAGTAGATATGGCAAGTTTGACAGGTCATGGAAACTGCAGGAGAGAATCAGCTAATAGTGGCCATGTGGTTGCAGAGGTCAGGGAGAGGTGAGGGCACAAGAGAGTTGGATGTTGGTGAAGAAGTTTCTAACACCAGCAAGGTTGTCAGAGGGAGCTGGGCCTCAGGTAGTCCCCAGGATGCCAACTCTTAAGGATGGACCAAGGATAATGAGACTTCCTTCTTTATTTCTTGGTTTCTTGAGTTTCCTCACTGTGTCCCCAGGACCATCCATGCCCCATGTACACACTCATGCAGACAGTGCTGATGCACTAGATCTGTCCACAACAGCACCCTCCCTGACTTA